TATATATATATATATATATATATATATATATATAGAGGTTAATTTTGGCCCAAACATCAGCAATGCATGACATGAGCTCCTAACCTACAGCAGTGCAATGTCACACTCATACCAGATGATCTGGATTTGATAAGAAAATGTTTATTTCAGTTATTAGAGACTTGAGGTTTGACTTTGAGTTGACCCCCAAAATTAAGACTTCATTCAGCTTTGGGTGTAAAACCTCAGCGTTGACTTGAACCTCAGAGAAAAGACTTGAGACTCAACTTGGATTTCAGAAAAATGACTTGAACATCTCTGTACCTGACTCAGAAGATGTCTTGTCGCTGCCTTGGGCAGAATTGAATAATGCTGAATGATATATGTTGCATGCTGGGTTTGATCTAAGCCAGATGGTTATACCAGCCGCTCAACATACATCTTGTCTTTCCACATGGTTTTGTAAAGAGTAAGGACTGATTTAGGTCCCATTTGAAGTGATGTCCAAAACAGAATATTCCTTCTGGATACTAAACATGGTAGCTAACTGTACAAGTAAATGTATTTGAATGATTTAAAATGAAGACCAACAAGATAATATTTGTTTCATTTTAAGTTGGGAAACTAGGAGGTAACACCCTCTGATGAAATAGTTCATTTTGTTCTTACACACATAAATGAATACCTGCAGAAACACTAGTCACAATTTGTCACTTCTCAAGAAGGAAATCCTAACTTTTTTCAAATGAAAGGAATTTATGATGTTATTCTTACAACTGTAGATGAATGAAGGTGAAAGTATGGCAGACTCTTTCATTATCCTGACTAGTTGCAGAAGGGGCATCAGTACATACCTCAGCTGAATAATAACACATCCCAACAGCAGTAAAACTGTAACCCAGTCATTGTTCTGTGTACACTGCCACATGATGCATAATGTACATTGTAGCACTGGAATAAATCAACTCTTCTGGATGGCAAACGGAATCGCCGTGTTTCCAGTATATTCTTCACTGTTTTGTTTTTTCTTTATTTTGCAGGTGAACTTTTGTCTCAGTAAGAAGAAATTCTATCCATTAAAACCATTTTCAGCAATGACTATCAC